GACAGCTAGTACACCTCATGGTATACTATTAATTAAGCAATACTGCCTAACCCATCCATTGCATTTCTCATTTGCTCTCTGGTTCTTGAAATTAAGGACATTAAGCCAGGATTCTGGTGTCTGAATCTGAATGAAGCAATGAGAGGCAATCATATGTTACACTTGCCACTAGCATTAATTAATGAACAAGAACTTAAAAGACAACATGCAAATTACCTAGTTACCTAACACATTTTATGGTAATATTATGCATTATTTAAATATGCCTCCTCATCTCCTTCCTTATCTTTCTCATTTGTCCTCTGAGTTCTGGAAATAAAGTAGTTAATCATAAATTCCTGGGTGGTTTGAATAAGGCACAGAGAGGAGGGAGCATTAGCAGGAAGTGATCAAAGAGGTCTGCTAAAGGAGATGAACTCTGAAGGTCAGTTTTCATTTTGCTTGCTCAAGGGAGAAATGGACTACAGGTAAACGAAGGGTGGAAAGAGACTAAGAGAGCAGATTTTTTTTTAAAGGAGGAAAATAAAATATAAAGAGACCCTCCCATGAACCATCTGCTTTCACATAATGCCTCATTTAACCTTTAATGGGCTAATAAAACACTCAAATCTATTCAATTATTCCATGCTATTTAACACTTATGATAAGCTCACCTCTGGCCACAGGGGGATTTCAAATTTCTTATTCACTGTAATATATTCTCCATTCAAAATATCAGTCTACTTTGATTTTGAGGTGTATTAGAAAATAATATAGGTAGGATCACCATGGAAGCCAACACAGAGAAAGAGGGAGGTACACTCTAGTTATAAAATGGAAAGGGGAGGATTTCTGAGTTCTGTTGCTTTCACTTGCTGAATAAGCTCCTATCAGACTCAAGCACCTCAGAAATGACAACTACAAACTCTCTGCAAAATTTTTTTGAGTATCTCTTAGAAGAAGTCACATTTTGGTGTGAGTTTCACATTTCTATGGCTGTAGGCTGACTAGGCATAGCATAGGTTGGAAATTCTGGTAATAAAATGGCTTTTTCTGGACAAACCAGCAAAGTTCTGGGAAAACAGTCACCATAAATTAAGGGAGGAATTCCAGAAAGCCGAGTCCCAGCAGAGGAAACATCAAATTCTGTGTAAAAACTTGCCCCAGTTCTCTGATTGACCCCTGCACCATACAGGCACAATCCAGCTAAATACCAATACATATATATGCAGGCATCCCTTGGTACCTACGAGGATTCCAGGACTTCCATGAATACCCAAATCCACAGATATTCAAGTCCCTTATATAAAATAGCATAGTATTTCCATAGAACCTACATTCATTTTCTCATATACTTTGAATCATCTCTAGGTTACTTATAATACCTACTACTATGTAAATGCTATGTAAATACCCATTATGCTGTATTTTTAAATTCACATTATATTGTTATTTTTATTGGCTTTTTCCTGAATATTTTTGATCCAAATCTGTTGAATCCAAGTTATTGAAATCCATCAATATGGAGGGCTGATTGTAAAAACATAAATACAGATATGTAGATAGAGGTAAAGATCTTCAACCGAGATATGTATTGCTAACAAAAAGATCAAGTTTGTAGTTTGAGTCCAACCTGATTGCTCCTAAGGCAAAAACATCAAAACTATTCAAGGAATTTAATGGTATTCAGAGCCTCTACAATATTGTTCTAGGACAATCAGATTTGCCTATCATGTAGGTAACAGACCAATGCACCAAAACATAAGAGTTGCAGCAGAGAAATAATAGAAAGATTGTATGGTAGCCAAATGAGAAGGTGGAAAGGAACCTTAAATCCACCTCTCCAAGGAGTTTTGGCTTGGAATTTTTCAGGGAATTTTGGCTAGGAGGGTGCTGAGGAGCTAATTGCTTAGTATGTGTGGAAGGAGATCTTTAATAAAGATGTAAAAACTGCATTTTGGGGGCTGAGTTAGATCCTCAGAGAGGGTCTTCACACTGGCTGGCATCAGTGGACCCATTGGAATGCAGGATCTGGAAAATATCTCAAAATGGAAAACTTGAAATTTCTTAACATTAAAGATGTTATCTATACAATTTAGGACCTTATGATAGGAGCTACTTGACTTTCAAGTAGTAATCAGCTGTACGGAAGTGGGCCATACAAGGCAGTCTGGTTAATGCTTTGCTATGTTTCTACTTAAAGCTTATGCTTTTGTTAAACCTAGCAATTTAGTTTTGTCATTTTATTAGGATGGCTTCAATATCACATTCACAATGTCTAGGATACCATGTTTTTTCTCTAATAAGGGCAGGAATATGTGTGGATCCTAAATCTGTGTAATGTTCCCATTCATGTTACTTTGCTGTTTCTTCTGTTTCCTCAATTAAAGTAAAAATTTTAAACCAAAGGGTCAGGAAAGTTATTTGAGAAATTCAAGTCTATTTATAAACAGTCAAGAATAGAATGGAAACTCCAAGGAATTGGATAGGTACTCAGTACCCTGAAGCCTGTAAGAAATAAGACAAAGTAAGTGTTAGGGGCTAACAAAGGAATGTGAAACAGGCCTGACAGAGAATTTATCAGCAAGAGGTTTACAACTATTATCCCCAGTGCCAAAGTGAGCTTCCTAAAGCACCAATCCAAAAACATCAGTTTCTTTCTTATAACTGTTAGTAGATTCTGTTGTTCACCGCAGTGGTTCAAAAACTTTTCCTCACAGCAGAATACTCAGTTTCCAATAAAATATTATGTGGAACCTCAGGGAATATAAAATAGACACAAGTAGATCCAGGTAGGAAGTTTGGAGTATCACAGATCTGACTTCTCAGAATTTGCTCATGTATGTGGTAGCCCTGATTCGCCTCCAGAACTCCAGAGAACAGAGGGTCATCACCTCAAATCTATAGAGGTATTGACTTATATTAGCATCTGAAGCCTTGACAATTGGGTTCCAAACTACCTTTCCAATCTTCTCTGTCACTACCCCGACAATACAACCCAAGTTCCAACCATTCCAAATTCTCAGTAGTATTCCACATCTTGGCACTATTTCATCTGTCTAGAAAATCCTTACAAGATCAGTAGGAGAAATGGTTTTTCTAGGTTATCCAAGTAGAAGGGCTTCTCCTTTCCTGGGACTTCCCCTTTGAGGGATTTACACATATTCCCCTACAAAAACATTTAACCTACTGCATTGTAATTGTGACCTACCTAATGCTGTGACTCACTTAAGTTACCCTCATCCTATGGCCAGTCTCAGCATGATGATACTGCAAAAGAAACTGAATCCATCACAAAATGTCATAAAGAATGTTGTATATCTTTATTGAGATTATCAAGACACACTGAGGTAGGGTCCCATAAAACCAGCATCAAAGCTTTCCCAAAATTCCATGTAGGTAATTTTTCCTTTTCCTCTAATCCTATTTTTATCAATGTAAATATCTGTCCTTCTATTGTCAAAATCTCCAGTATGCACTGAGTTCTTTCTCACTATCTTATTTCTTTTCTAGAGATGGTTCAAGCCCTTTCGTATGACAATCAGCTTATTTAAATTACTATAAATCCAACCATTATTCTGCTCAGCCCAACAAAGACCCAATAGAGTCCAGCTTAGAAGGTAGGAGAGATGAGGCTGGGCGCGGTGGCTCAAGCCTGTAATCCCAGCACTTTGGGAGGCCGAGGCGGGTGGATCACAAGGTCAAGAGATCGAGACCATCCTGGTCAACATGGTGAAACCCCGTCTCTACTAAAATTACAAAAAATTAGCTGGGCGTGGTGGCACATGCCTGTAATCCCAGCTACTCAGGAGGCTGAGGCAGGAGAATTGCCTGAACCTGGGAGGTGGAGGTTGCAGTGAGCCGAGATCACGCCATTGCACTCCAGCCTGGGTAACAAGAGCAAAACTCCGTCTTAAAAAAAAAAAAAAAAAAAAAAAAAAAGAAGGTAGGAGAGATGAAAGAGCCATAAATAAGTATTCTTTAATACTTTTGTCTCCAATGTATGTGTCAAGCTGTATTCCACAAGACTGCCCCCTCACCATGTCTTCGTTGTCGCTTCCAGGCTGTTTTATATTTTTTTGTATCACCAACATTTACCACAATGCCTGAGACAAAAATAGGTATTCAGTAAATACAGGTTGACTGAAGAAGTAAATGAGTAGTAAATGACTGAGTGAATGAATGGAATGCTCAGATTCCATAGAAAATTCATGTAATTGCAAAAACCTAACTTCTTACAACAGTAAACCCATTATCACTGTGTTCTCAGAGAACGACACTATCAAGTTAGTTAGAAGTAAAGTAATGTTTTTGAATCATTTCACAGTAATGTTTTTCACTCAAAGACATCACTGCTCATCTATTAAAACACAAGGCAGGCCATATTTCCCATCATCTGGGGTGTCTGCACATAGTCTCACATTGCCTTAAACACCTCTGCACAAAAGACATCTTGACAGTTTGTAGCCAAAAGGAAATCATCCCCAGGAAATAGCTTCATTTTTCCATTTCTTCTCCCTCTATTACATAGACACAGGCTAGGTATCTAACACCTTACAGTGCTCCCCAATTACTTCCATGTGATCAAATCTACTTCATTCTGAATTATTTACTGTTGAAGTCATATAGTATTCTGATTTTTAGCAAGATGCTTTCTACTTGATCTTCCTAAGAATGGTGTAGATATGGGATAAAATATTAAGTTAGTAAAAGGGTACTTCCTCTTAGATTATAAAATTTATCATTCAAAGATTAAACTAAACTCTATTCGCCTTAAGAAGGAAGGTGGTTTGGATGAGAATCCTTTTATCCATAAGTTTTTGTCCCTCTTTTCCTTAACTCTGTCATGAAGAGAAAAATAACTCAGTCCTGGATTTCCCTCTTTCTTTTAAGTAGTAGGAAGAGAAAAATGAGAATTTCAGGAATTCATGGAATCATCAACCCTCATATTTATTTTGGAAACTCTGAGTGAGAATAAGCCCTACATTCAGAGTAAAATGATTTTAAAAATAAAGAGGCATTCACATTCTTTCTGAGCAGTGTTTTTGACACAGTATACTCTTCACTGCTGCCTTCACATCTTTGTTCCTCAAACTATAGATGAGAGGATTAAGCATAGGTGTCACCACTCCATAGAAGAGGGAGATGATTTTGTCTGTGACTTGTTCTTTGTCTGCACCAGAAGAGTCTTTAGTCTTGGGGTTTGCATACATGAAAAGGATGGTTCCGTAGAATATAATCACCACCGTTAGGTGGGCAGAGCAGGTGGAGAAGGCTTTACGCCTTCCTTCTGCAGAAGGAATTCTCAGAATGGTGGAGAGAATAAAAACATACGAAACAACAACAAAAAGTACTGGCCCTACAAGAAAAATCATGTTAGCAACAACCATGCTAATAATATTTATGGAGATATTAGCACAGGCCAATTTTAAGACAGCCAAGATTTCACAAGTAAAATGATTAATGACGTTATCCCCACAGAAAGGAAGCCTCATTGCAAGGGACGTTTGCAACACAGAATTGATGCCTCCTGCAATCCAGGACCCAGCAGCCATGGACACATATGCAGATTTGTTCATGATGATAGGGTATCGTAGAGGGCTACAGATGGCCACATAGCAGTCAAACGCCATCATACTTAGAAGGACACACTCCGTTGCTCCCATAGCAAAAGAGAGAAACATTTGCACTCCGCATCCAGAGAAGGAAATCGTTTTCTTTGAAGTTAAGAAGCTGCTGAGAAATAGTGGGATAGATGAACTAGTATAGCAGATGTCCAAGAATGATAAGTTACTGAGGAAAAAGTACATGGGGGTGTGCAAGTGGGTGTCATAAACACTCACAATGATGATGACTCCATTTCCCAGTAGGATCACCAAATACATACACAGGACCAGCACAAAGTAAATGGCCTCTAGCTCTGGGTAGCCAGAAAGCCCCAGCAGCACAAATTCTGTCACAAAAGACTGATTAGACTTTCCCATGCTAATATTTTCTTCGACCAAGAGAAATTCTGTAGTGGCTGGAATGTATGTGGATCTTTTATACCAATGTCTGTAAGAATCATTTGCGTTCTCAAATGGCTTCCCTTATGAGTAATAAAGACCTGTAAATGTGTACACAAATAGCATAAGAATATGTTACAGCCCTCTAAGTTAAGATCAGTTAGGCTTCCAGACTTCATGAAGGAAAGTCCTCAGCTCTCAAAAAGAATATTCTTGTTAGAGAATAGGTTAAGAACACATGCAAATGAGCTAGAATTATGTATCTTTTGCATTATGAATTTTAAAATATTTTAATACAATGTTACCACCATATTTTGACCAAATAATCCAGAATAGAAAATGTATGAAATATTACTAGCCAACAGATATCTGACCATTTTAACCAGTATTATTATCTGTGACCAAATAGTTTTCTTCACACTACCTTATACCTAACAAAATTGCTGTTCTTCTGTTACTAAAATCAAGCTGTATGTGAAAGTTCCCCTTCAATGGTAATTCAATCTTAATTTCAGAAGAGTCCTGCGGGCTAAAGGAATAAATAGAAAATATTTTTTTTTAGGAAAAAGAACTTTTGGTTATTCCTAATTTAGGGTAAATATGAATACCTGAAATATTCTAAGAATATTGACTAGAGAAGAAGTATTCCTTATAAAATAACAAAGAAAAAAACTGACATAAAATTATTCTTGTTTGTCTTTTTCAATACAGATAAAGAAATCTTTCTAGGTCACCCTATGGTTCTGCCTGACATACACAATGAATAAAAAGTTGACCTTAGAAAAACTCTAGTGTACATTTCTTAGTCTATAATCAAACCATAAATAAATGCATAAATTAAAGAATTTCAGCAACAAGGGATTTGCTCCTTTACCTCTAAGTATGAGAAAATACATATTGTCTTCTTCCTGCACAGAAGTCAGCTTTCTCTGTTCTAACAGCTGTTCTGCTGATCTTCCTCTCACTGCATATTCAGAAATACCCATGGTAATGAGAGGTAGGTCACTCAAAAAGTTCTTAAACACAGCTATTTGCTATAATTATTTGTATCCCCATTTGATGTAATATGGAGTATTTCTATATTTAAATGCCAAAAACAGAAGTCCTACATTTTTAATCAAATTGCTAGCCTCATAAGTTCCATCTCAATAATTTCACAAAGATAACTAAAAGAACTGCTTCTCAGTTCTCATTAAAATCAAGTAGCTGCCATTGCTATTGTAAAAGCCAACTAATCATTGGCAAAATAGAAATTTGTTCTAGTAACGATGAAAGCTGGGGCTCTTTACAGCCTTTTCACTAGCAGAGGATTCTTTAAAAGACCAGCCAATGAAGCATTAAAGCAACTTAAAGTGTTTGCTGCTTTGAGGATGCTTCAAATCCCAAAAGTAATTTAAACCTCACAATGTGGATTGGACAGAATTTTAAAACTTTCTAGTACTTTTGGGATGAAGTCCCTCAGAAGCAATTAAAACAAAGTTGCTAATACAATTTAATTAAAGTTTAACTCATAAAACGGTAACATATTATAGCTTTACATTCTCTGGGAGGAACAAGTTTAGGAACGCTATGGAGGTAAAATAGCCAAGACACGGAAATCAACATTCACTAGATCTGATGGAGAGATGCGGCAATAATCTGTGACACTTAATTCAAAATGATGCTTTGTTCTTAATAAATGAACCGTTAGTCACATTTGTTTTGACCATTAATCCAGGAGTCTCCCAATCTATAAGCTTCATACTGGTCTCATTGGCCCCTCTAAACAGCCATAATCCTATGCACGGTCATTTTAATTTTGTTCATTCATACCCTCTGTTCAAATATATATGCAATATCCCAACCTCATTCAACCTGCCCTTTAGTTATGTCCACACTAGCATGGCACAGCATGAGTCTGACCACAAAACAATTTCCTTGAGTGAGCAAGCCTTACTTTACTTTTTAACAGGAAAAGAAATTCTGACTTGAAATAATTATTTGTAACACTTATTATGACTATCTTTTGAAATGGATATCAACCCTTAAAGAACTCAGGTACTTTACATAAATATGACAAAATAATCTTTCAGCATGGAAACAAGTGGAACCACCATGTGTAATGTTAAAAAGAACGGAGTAAAATTAGACAACAGGGCTCTTTTTAAGTCAGTGGACAATATTTTTTAAAAGTTACTGAGCCTGAGATGTAACATAATGCTGAAAATGGGTAAACTATTTATGCCATGTAAAAATGGTATTATATGCTTCCAAAAATCAAATTTGAAATAAAAAATTCTCAGAGTTGTTAACTTTATGCAAGAACATATTCAATACACTGGTTTGAAAGGCAGATCTTGGGCATGTTTTCTCACTAATCAATATTCAATGGACAAAAGAATTCAACAGGTTGAAAGCGACACTGTAGAAGCTATACTGTAACGCAAATGGAGGATAGACTGTAACTGTAAAACAATTTATAAGCAAACTCTGCAAAACAAAAAAAAATATGTCAAGGAAAGCCAAATCATTAGAGAAATATAATTAACGAGGTATGTAATATAGATGCTTATAATTTATTTATTTAATTTTTTTCTGAGACAGGGTCTCCTGCTGTCGCCCAGGCCGGAGTGCAGTGGCACAACCACAGCTCGCTGCAGCCTCGACCTCCCAGGCTCAAGTGCTCCTGCCACTTCTCTTCCTCTCAAGTAACTGGGACTACAGACATGTACCACCACGCCCAGTTAATTTTTGTATTTTTTGTAGAGACGGGGTTTCACCATGTTTCTCAGGCTCATCTCAAACTCCTGGGCTCTAGAATTCTCCCGCCTCAGTCTCCCAAAGTGCCGGGATTATAAGCATGAGCCACCGCCACACCCAATCAGATGTTTATAATTTATTACAAACAACAAATACATTGTGTAAGCATTATTCATGTAATATTTTTATTTCATCACAGCACACTTACACAAGGAAATTAGAAATACTTCAAAGTTAACTGTGTCATGTATTTTTATTTGCTAATATGGTAACTCTAACTTCCTGTGACAAAGACTCACATGGAATTCAGTCGAAGCCTGATTGCCCCATCCAGCATCACTGTCAGCTCCAACCACTCACAGGCACTGGAGAGAGTGTGAGACCCAGATCTCTGGGCATTACTGCTCATAACAATACTGCCAGACAGTACTATTTTCAGAACTTTCAAATGAGAAACAGAGAATATTCAGTCTCTTTCTGTTTGGGCTGCTATAACGAAATACCAAAAGACTGAGTGGTCTATAAACAACAGAAATTTGTTTCTCACCTCTCACAGTCCTGGAGACTGAGAAGCTCCAGTTCAAGACACCAGCAGAATCAGTACCCGCGCAGGGGCTGTTCCTCATAGACATCTGTTTCCAATGGAACCTCGTGTGAAGGCAGAGATGAGGAATCTTCTGGGACGTTTCTTTATAAGGGCAGTATTCCCATTCATAAGGGCTGTACTCTCATGATCTAATCCCCTTCCAAAGGTCTCCCTTCCCAATACCATTGCCTGGGGATTAGGATTTCAACATATAAATGGGAGGGGGGACATACGCATTCTGTCAATTGCAGAGTGTGTTTTGCTGAGTCATTCTAGCGGATACAGGATTATTAACATTATTGGTTGTCTCAGATATACCTAGTTACCACATAAATATCGCCTATAGCTGCAACCCTCCATCTCTGTCCATAATAGTAAGAAGAAACAACTAAGATGAACTTATAGGTCCTCATGATCAAGCACTGCTCTCCAACATTTCCAAGCTCTAGTCTATCATCTCATCTTCTGTCTGATTTTATTCAATTCAGTAAACATTCACTGAAGCCTCCCTTGTTCCAGGAACCATTTGCCTGCTTCTGCCTTAGATCTTATGAATTACTCTGATCCCCTCCCAGACACTGTAGCCTATTATAAGAATGGCAAGCCAATGTCTGGGGTCTCACTACCTTGGGTCAACTCCCCTAATGCCACCTGTCTGTCTATACTCCAGGCAGAACTCTCCCTGAATTCTTTTTTCACATTTCTCTGCCTTATGCTGTACTCACACATCAATCCATGCTTTTCCTTTAAGTGGCTGATGTAGGCTCCTTAAATTTTCTCTCAAACTCTTAGGTATGTGGTGTTCGGACACCTTCTTCTTATCCCTCAGGAAACTGGTATACCTGTTCATTTTATTTTGTCTAAAGATAAACCAATAATATATGAATAATTAAGTATCTGGTATAAGCCTTTTCTTTTCCCTAAAACAGTTTACTTCACTAAACTATGGCTATCTTTCATCTAAATTGTGAATAAAATTTTAATCTCATATTATGTTTAGAAAATTTCATTTCAAAACCTTGAAGTTAGACAAGGGTAATGTTGTTTTGGTTTGTTTTCCGGGTTTTTTATTTGCTTGTTTTGTTGTGTTTGAGACCAGGTCTTGCTTTGTCACAGAGGCTGGGGTGGAGTGGCTCAGTCTCAGCTCGCTGCAACCTACACCTCCCAGATTCAAGTGATCCTCCCACCTCAGCCTCCCAACTAGCAGGGACTACAGGCGTGTGCCACCACACCCAGCTAATTTTTTGTGGAGACATTGTTTCGCCATGTTGCCCAGGCTGGTCTCAAATTTGTGGGCATAAGGGATCACCCTTCTTAGCCTCCCAAAGTGCTGGGATTACAGGCATGAGCCACTGCGCCCAGTGATGTTTTCTTACATTAATGAATGCACACAGGACCTCATCTATCTCCTCAAGCTAAAGTTTATCAAAATAGTTAATATTAGCTATAATGCAGCTACATCATGACCAGTATATTTACTCTGTCAATCAAGAGAGTCTCTGTCACAGCCTCATTATCATTCTCTTTCTTGTGTCCTGTCTGTTTCTTAACAGTGGGTTTTGTCCAGATTGGAGAGATCATAAAAGGCAGCTAGTAAATACCAATTAGTCCATGATATAAGGAACAGAACAAGGACATAAAATTGGAACCAGCT